GCCGCGACGACCGGGCAGCCCGGAGCGCGCTCTGAACGGTGGCGGCGGCGGCGGCGGCGGCGGCGGAGCGGGCGGGACCCGTTATTGATCCCGGCGCCGGACTATTCTGGGCTGCGCTACGCGCCGCCGGGTCGGCCAGGCCGGGCCGCCGCCGCCGCCGTTGTCGGGGGCGGAGCGGGGACGAAGCGGGGCGGAGGAGAGGGGAGAAACGCCCCCGCGCCGGCACCCATCTGGAGCACTCGCTGCAACCGCCGGCGCGCGCGTCTTCCTGACGCGATCGAGCGCACATTCCGCGGCTAGAGCACACTCGCTTCGGGAAAGCACTGCGCTTCGGAAATACCACGTCGTAATTTTTGAGACCGCCTATCGGGCCGCGTGCACGGGATTCGGCACGCTTTTGATTGAGTCGAAAATATATTAATTTGTTTCATATACAGGGAAATATGTTGGAAAACTAAATTTACAAAATGACAAATTCAAAAAGCATTTCAATGCACAATAAGAACCAACAAACTCATGTGACATTTGTTCGCAGATATACCATCCGAAAACAAGAGTAAAAGTAGTTAAAATAAATCGGGAAATACCGCAAGAACTATAGACAAAGTCAATGTGCTAATCACACAACAGTATGCAGGCACGGGTCGAGGCGGGAGTGATTGCCAGAGAAGGAAATTTCAATTCTTTAAACAATTTTTTCGAAAAGAAACTTCGCAGGTTCCTGAAGCTAAAATAAATTAAATAAATCCAACTTTTTTATCACCTTAGTCACCACCTGGGTAATACCTAGCTTAAATATTCGTCAAAATTTCAGTGCGCGACGTTCCATAACGGAAAAGGCAAGAATCTACCAGCTGCCTTATAGTCACAGCATCAAAGTGTTCAGCCAAACCATCTTGCACAATGTGGCGCAAGTCGGACGCCCGGGGTGTCCCAGGTCATTAGCATTTAGGCCTGTTACAATGCGAGGATGTATGTTGGCAAGTTTCTGCGTTCTGATTTATACTTCGCGACTTCAGTACATTCTTTGTGGCGTCTCCTATCTTAACAATCCTATACTTTAGATTTATCGAACGTTTCAATCAGTTGCCAGACGTAATTTCTGGCGCACAATTTCCCACCCTATAATTCCTGGTCAAACGTAAGTACATTTCAAGCAATTCTCCAATTCGTAATACATTTGCGTGGGAAACATCTGAAAAATAATTTAGGTCGGGACAATAAGATAATCCACATTTATAAATTTTGTGTCCCTGAGGGAAAACGAAACAAAACAAAAGACAAGACACTTCTCAGTTACTGACAATGTTTCTTTCACGAAAGGGTGTGACTGTTGGGGAGGGAGGGGGGAGCTGAAAGGAATGTATTGGAGGAACTACCCGGCAAAATGTACTTTTATCTATTGAATCGTTCACCCCGCCCCCTCAAAGCATTTGGTACTGGAGACGTCCATGCAGTTAGAGCTTATGTCCAAATCTGGCTTATTTCAGAGTTTCTTTTTCGGAATCTACAATAAGAGTGGATAAAGTTCGAAATATATCAGCTTCGAAGTATACTTCTGACTTCATCCGTATGACGTGGATATTACGAAACAAGAGGTAGATCGGTTAGGTCAAGTATTTATGGCGACAACTAATAGTTAATATGATAAACCGAGATCAGATTGATGGGAAGTTTCTACGGCTAGTTAAGGCGAGTAGTTTTGAGTACCATTGGTGTCTACTTTTTTGTTTACACGTGACCACCAAACCTCATGGTATTGTCTTACCTCAGTTGATTCTTCACTATGATTTTTCCGTGTTGGGATACCAACGTTTGAGATTTATATAAAATGTGAATGTGCGCATTATTTCCAAAACATGGCAAAAATGCTTCTTTCGAACGAGACTCCACGCTCAAACCACCTCATTTTGGCGAACACCCTGTGATTAATGCCAATATTAGCGAATTAAGGGAAAACCAAACTATCCGTTAGTCATTCGTAGTCTAAGAAATCATCCGGCTAATGCGCGAATTCAACCAGCTTC